GCGATACCGTCCCTATTAAAAACAGAAAAATTAGCAGGCTCCATGGCACTCCCACTTGTAGTCCCAGCTACTTGGGAGGCTGAGGCAGGAGGACAGATAGAGCCCAGGAGTCGGAGGTTGCAGTGAGCTATGATGATGCCATTGTACTCTAGCCCAGGGCAACAAGAACAAGATTTTGTCTAAAAAAAAAGAAAAAAGAAAAAGAAGAGAAAATGGGAATCTTCTAAGACAGAATCAAGTATAAACCATCCCAAATTTATGGGTACAAAGAAGACAATTTCCACAAGACAAACTGATTAATGAGACTAATTTTTCTCATGTGGTTCCAACTGGCTCTGAAAGTAATTCCAAGGGAAAAATGCCAAAAATGGTAGTAAATAGCCATCCAACAAGACTATCATGAAAGTAACATTTACTGGACATATAAAGTAACTCATTTTAAAAAATTGGTTTTGGATATCAAGTGATCAGTATCAAAAACAAAATTAAAACTCTCATGCTAAAAAGGAAAATAAATGTTAACCAATTGTAGAACTATTTACTCACTTAATAGGGACACACTAATCTTCTAAACCCAATGTTGTATCCTGGATTGGATCATGGAACAGAAAAAGGGCAGTAGCAAAAAAACTGGTGAAATCAGAATAAAGTCTATAATTTAGTTAACAGTAATGCACTCACAGCAACCTTTGAGTCTGATAAAGGCACTAACATTATGTCAGATGTCAATAATCAGGATAACTGGATGAAAGGTATACAGAAACTCTATACTCTTTGTAACATATCCATAAATCTAAAATTATTCCAAAGCAAAAAAATCTTTAAAAAAAAAATCCACTAATCTAAGACAGTGTGTCCTAAAATACCTAGTAATGTGGATAGACAAAGATAATCAGAACTAATTAAGGGGAAAATTTAAGAGCCAATTTAATATCTTTGTTACTTATACAAATGGCTTGATTTAAACAAATTCCTGTTTCTTACATTGAAATTTTACCTATATGCTTCCTTACATTTGGCATTCTAAATTTAGTAATTAAAACATAATAACCCTATGTAGGGTGTATTTTAAAGGACTAATGATATGTGTATCCAATTAAATCAATATTAGTAATTTGGGAATGTACATGCTAAAGTCAGAAATTGCTTCTGGGTTCAGAGTCACATCTCATGTTTACAGACAATAGAATGTATATAGCTAAGTCAGAGAATTGGATAATCTACATAATTCAAAATTATTCATTTATTCATAAATGTACTAAGCATCTACCACAAAAAACTGTAAGTGCCAGTGAAACAAACTCATCTCAAATTCAAGGAACTAACAATCCAAAACAGAATATACACATATAAACAAACAGAAAACATGTGAACATCACAACAAAATATGAAGTGCCATATTGAAGGGTTGCAAATAGTACCACAGAAGAAGGTGAAACTCAGGAGGCCAAGAAAGGCTAAGCAGGTAACGTGTGAGCTGTATCCTAAAGGTCCAAGAACATATTCTAGGCAAAAGAAACAGCATATGCTAATTATGAATGGCTCAGTTTGGTCCTAATGGACCATTTATAAAGACTCAGAATAAA